AACCAATGCTGCTCGAATCCTTATTCCGACTTGTTGTACCCTAAAGAACCAATTCCTCTTTGCGAGACACTCCACGAGTTTCGCTACGAAAAAAACACAGACCAAAACATAGCCCTCACTTTCGAAATCTCGCTGACCGTTGAGATATTGAACAAAAGTGTCTATAAGATAGGGGCCAACATAAGTAGCCAATGCATAAATGAATGCAAGAGCAGCAGTTAAGGCTATTTCTTTCCAAGCTGAGTAGAGTAAACCCTTGACCATAGAAAAAGTGGTGACTCTGTTAACTGTTCCACACTCCAACTCAAGCTTGTTTCTGAGAATATGAAAGGTCCGAGAAACAGCATCACGGCTTGCAAGTTGAGGAATATCCTCAAGGTCTAATGCCTTCTTATTTCCAGCTGCAATCAAAGCACCCATCCAAGAGAATGAAAGGATACTGAAAATCCCAGCAGTCTCATAAGGGGTCACAGTTTCATCTCCTTTCAAGTTCTTCAGCTCAACGACGCCATCGACGATGCCATTACTGAGAGTAGTTTCACCATTTAAAAGGTGTTCTTCAAGAGGGTCTTGTTCACTCACACTCTTCCCAAAGAACCCAACATATATGATCAACAAACCAGAGACAACCGACACAACATCAGAAACCAAGTATCTAATGGACAAGAAATGAGTTTGTCCATAAAGAACAGAGTCCACAGCAAGGCAGTAGCAAGAAACAGCTAAGTAAGAAACCCACCAGACTCTCAAATGACTAGCAACCTTTGCCTTTCCAGTTTTGGAAACATGAGAATGTAAACAAAAGGAAACCGTGCTCCATGCAAGTGCTTTCAACCCAAAATCCAAAAGGGTCACCATATTTTCATCAGACCATCCATTTCTATACCAGTAAAAGCAGCCAAGAGAAAACAAAACAAGGTTGAAAACAGAAACAACGAGGCAGCATATGAACATTCCCTTAAAGTACAAACACCTCGTCTCTCTTTGACATCCCCCATAGCCTGCCTTCAACTTAAAGCTAACCCATGAGAAGAACAGAACAAGCAACAAAACCAAGTGAGCCAAACCAGACAAGCCATGAGCTAAAATGGGTTCAAGGAGAAAGTGAGCAGCAGAGCTCACAGAGGAAGAAGAAGGGTCATGAAAGAACAAGTTAGCTAAGAAACCCATGATTCAAAAAGCTTGAATGATGGGTGTGCTATGACAACAGCGAGGTTTAGCTCAATCCAAGTGAAGAACGAAGAGAATCCTCAGCTTCTATAGTTCTATATATCCATAAGAAACAGAGATAGAGTCATACGTTACTTCCTTTGGACAAGGATGCAGCGTGATGCGCAAGAATCAGGGGTTGAAAGTATCGACAAAAAGCCAAAGAGGGAAAACCCCGATTAAAAAACAAAAGGGGTATTCACTTTCTACTTTCTAGGCAATGGTCGGATGACGCATTAGAAAGAGACAGATGGCTCCATCCTATAATCATTTGTTTCTTCGTTCTTCCAAGCCTAAGTTCTATCCAGATTTTCGAAACACAACAGTGATTCAGAGCATCATAAAACAGACTTCAATGGTGTGTGCTGCTACTACAATCGGCAGGTGGGCTATAGAAAATCAAGAACAAGAGCGATTATAATGCAAAAACTAACCAGACCCATCTAAGATTCTACCTGCAAAATGTTGGACTCTTCAACCAATAAGGATTACCTTTCCTTGGAATTTGGGGAGATTCCACGACGAGACAGTGAGAGTACAGAGACGGCACTATAAGTCAAAACTGACGCCCAAGGAACCCATTTATGGGGTTGAATGATGACGATTGATGAAGTAAACTTGAATTTTCAAAGCAGATTCCAAAGAGATTGGCCATTGCGCGTTGATGCCTGAGAGCTGCCTCGAAGTTGAAGAACGACGGGCCATCGTGATTCGTTTTTTATGTCTCCCTTCGTTTCCTCCACGAACGATATTGAGCTGTTTTCCTTTTGAATACTAATATTAATCTAATTTTCTTAATTCTTAGTTTAAAATAATTTAATTCCAAATATCACTTTTTTTTGTATTTTTAAACGTCCATTTCTAACCGCTCAAGTGCAACGCTAGTAGATATTGTCGTATTTCGGGCTTCCCTTCAGTACTTCTACTCAAGGTTTTAAAATGCGTCTAATATAAAAAAAAAGTCTAGCCTTACTTCGTCCAGTGCTCGCATCACCCAGCGACCGGCTCTTATACCGTTTGTAACAGACCAAGCTTATCACTAGTAGATATTGTCCGCTTTAGTTCATTACGTATCGTCATCAGCCTCACGATTTTTAAAACGTGTCTCAGTTAGAACTTCACTAGCTGCATCATTGCCCCGAGGCAGGAACGGAGAAACTTTCATCATTACTATCCCCACCCAAATTCTCCATCTATTTTTGTAGGAATCGAGATAGTGCTCAGATATTAGATTCTGCACATAAATTTTTATTTTATTTAATTTTTTAAATGGTTCTTCCATCTAATTATACATAAAAATTTAATTCATTATAAAATTTTAAAAATATATTCACATAATTTTTTTATATAATTATTTTCAACAATTAAATTTAAAATTTATTAAAAGTACAGTAATAAAATAAATATAAGGAGTTTTAGCCTATTAAATATAAAGTTTTATTTATAGAAAAGGTGAGTTAACTTTAAATATATTTTCCTTATATTGAGGAATTTTCCATTTAAGGATTTAAGTGTGTAATATACATATATATATATATATATATATATATTTTTTATGGATATGTATTTTCTTAATCTAATTACAAATATGCCATTTTTTTTATGATAAATTTGAATTATGGTAATTAATATCATTTTATTCTCACATTATTGATTATTTTAGACTCGGTTTGGTTTATGACTTGAAAATTTATTTATAAAGAAAACAAATATTTTAGTAGAAAACAATAGATGAAAACTTCTCTCGTTTCAAACGCTAAATTGTTCTTGACAATTTAAAAAACTCGAACAATTTAATCCTATCATAATAATTTAGGTTAAGTTAATTATTATTGTTGTACGAGTTCACTTAAGATTAATTTGGGTTGAATCGAACCAACCCGAACATATTATTAAGTTTAAAAGTATTTCATTTTACGTACCATATTAGATTTATAGTTTATTTTTAAAATTATTTGTTCTCTAATTTAAAAAAAAAAAACTATAACGTAATTTTTCATAATAAAAAATGAAATTTAGTTATTAATTTTAATTCTGTTTTTAAAATAAATATATAATAGCCCAACTCGCTCGTTACGTGTTGTCTTCAACTTCACGGTTTTAAAACGCGATTATAAGGGAGAGGTTTCCACACGCTTATAAGAAATGTTTCGTTCATCTCTTCAACTGATGTTGGGATATCACAATCCACCTCGTTGGGGGACAAGCGTCCTTGTTGGTAAACCGTCTCGTGTCTAGCTCTGATACCATTTGTAACCCTCTCCAACCAGTGTCAGCTCTTACAAAATGAATAAATAGCTTTTTCACGAGCAATGTTGAGTTGGGCTCTTCCAAAATCATACATTGAATTGAGGCCCAAATCAATAATTACGTGCAAATCCTAATTTTTAAAATTAGTTTTCGCTCGTTAGACTCGGTATAATTTTGAGCCACGATAATAATAAAGAGTCCCAAACTTAGCTATACCTCCTCCCGAGAGCCCTTAGCATCAGAATGTTCATGTCTCTTTTAAGTCGAATATTTCGTAAGATGTCAAAGAAAATACTATGCTCGAGAGTTATTCTACTATTTTGTGAAGGAATTCTTTTAAACCTTTTCGAATAATTCTAGTAAGAATTATGTCAATGGGACGATCTCTAAACGCTGTTAACAGTGATTTCTCCCTATTAGCTAAACGAAGCCGAAGACAGATTATATTCTCTGTCTTTACCCTCGAGCTCGCTCAAATCCCCACCTAGCTCCGTCTTGTAACATTGAAATTTTAGTTATTTTTTATAGTAAAATATTATTTGATTTATTAGAATGTTTTATATTTTTTAATATAAATTTATTAGAAAATGAAAAATTAACCATTAAATTTTCTTTTGAAATGAACATTTTTTTAAATAACTAAATATATATAATATAGAAAAAAGCGTTCAAAAATTTTGTCTCGATATGTGAGAAAATAAACGGAAAATTTCGTGGAGATGGTGATAGACATAAGAGGTCTTCCCACGTCCCCGTTCCACTCTATAGACATCTCTAATTACGTTTAGAATCTATAATCAAGTAAAAAGTGCTTCCACGTACTCCACCGCTTGTGTGGGCCCCCATCAATTCCTTTGAGTTTCGTTCTTGCGAACATACTCCCCAACCAGGATACTAACACATTAGCAACACTGCACGAGTCGATACACACAGTGTCACAATCACATTTTGATGGCAGCAGACTTGCGATTGTGCGGCACTCACTTTCCAGCAACAAGTGAGTTAAACCTATTCGTTCTTACGTCACCTACGGCTAAGAAACGTATGCTCGAGCCTCTGGCCCCAGTTCAAGAAGAAAGTTTTAGAAAACATGGGCCGAGAGATTTCGAAAGAGAGTTTTGAAAGCTGGTGTTATATGAAAATGTAAGCAAAAGGCAACAACAACGACTTACTGCATATAACTATTGGGTAAGGAGAAGTTGACAACTAGTCATATCCCCTATAATACATTTTGAGGCATTTCATGTCTTCGCCTTCATGTCTGGCGCACCAAGACATGATTTTTTTGAAACGTCATACTCCTTAAAAAAAAAAAAAAAAAAAAACATTACAACATGTAAATACATAAAGGGTTTGGCTTGTCATGAGCATGCGACCATCGGTAACACGCCCTAGACGAGCATGACCATGACACACAGCGCCTAGTATCCATCGTTTACCCGTAGGACTACCAGGGTAGAACATAAATTGTCCTAACGTTTTGATTCAACCCTCCCAAAATTACTTCTCGAACAAATACTCAACTTAAAAAACATCTTACACATGTTTTCTTATTAACCTTACATTTTCTTTCCCGCTTTCAAACATCACAATCTTAAGTTAAAAAATACATTTCAACACCGACTTACTGTCGTCCCGAGAAACTTACCATTCTTTTATACGCGTTTACAAATCCAAAACACAAGGACATCAAAAGAGACAACTCTATATTTATTTTTATATATATATTCGCCATTATTACATCAGCTTGAGCTTCAACACTCAATTCAATGGCCGAAAATTAAAAAAAAAAAAAAAAAAAAAAAAAAAAAAAAAAAAAAAAAAAANAAAAAAAAAAAAAAAAAAAAAAACCCAAAAATCTATATAACATAATCAGACCACTCGTTTATATGAGAGATATGATCCATAGTGAAACTTGGCGTCTTATCCAACTTAATCGGATTTGACTTCCCGCCGACCAGCCTCGCCGGATTCCCGACGGCCGTCGTCCGCGGTGGCACATCCTTCAAAACTACCGACCCAGCCCCAATCTTCGCTCTATCACCGATCTTAATGTTACCCAAAATGCAAGTTCCGGCGCCGATCAAAACCCCATTTCCAATCTTCGGGTGCCGGTCGCCGGAATCCTTCCCGGTACCGCCTAAAGTCACATGGTGAAGAATCGAGACATCGTTTCCGATGACCGCCGTCTCGCCGACGACGACGCCGGTAGCATGGTCGAGAAGAATCCCACATCCAATCACGGCGCCGGGATGGATATCAACGGCGAAAGTTTCAGATACTCTGTTTTGAATCAACATCGCCAGAACTTTCCTCCCGTCGGACCAAAGTTTATGAGCGATTCGATGAGATTGAACCGCTAAAAACCCTTTGTAATTCAGAAAACATTGCACATAACTAATACAAGCCGGGTCTCTTTCCTTCACCGCCCTCAAATCCCTAACCCCACATCGCAAAATCTCGCCGCCGTCGTCTCTCAAAACGTCCAAGAACAGCTCGAACAGAGTCGTACTCGGGAGGCTCGAACTACAGAGCTTAATCGAGAGATGGTTCGCTAGCGCTCGATCCATAGAGCTATGGGAGAGAATCGAACTGATGTAATAGTTCGATAAAATGGGTTCATCTTCCACATCGGAGCGAGCTTCTTCCCGGATTTTCAACCAGACATCGGAATCGGAACAGGGCGGCGGCGGCGGAGGAGAATCTTGGATTTTGTGGGGATTTGGGGAAATGGGTATGGAAGAAATATGATCGGAGAAGGTGGGTCGGCAGAATTTGACCATTTTGTGATGTGGGTCGGAAGAGATAGAGGGGTTTGGGTCGCCGGAGAGTGGGAGGCAAGCCGCCATGGGATGGGGATGAAGGTGGGGGAAACAGAGACGGCGGCGAAAGGGAGTGGGGATGGAGGAGATATGGAGGCGAGAGAGGGGTATTTATATTGGGTAGGTGGAAATTTTCTTGGGAAAATCTCCAAATTTTCCCGGAAAGTGAAATGGGGAAGAAAATGAGGTTTGAATGGATAATGATCGCTTAAGAAAGTGGGAGAGAAGAAGGTCAATGAAGAAAAAATCAAAGGAAATTTAAAAAATATATATATATATATATTAAAATTTGATTTTTTATGATTGAAATGGTATAAATTTATAGTTTCCAACCTTTTTTTTTATAGTTTGCTATTAATTAAATTTCAGTTTCATCCGTTCCACAACGATAAAATTAGTTAAAATTCATCCGTTTCAAAACGTTTGAATCAGTTAAATCATCTGATTATTTATGAAATTTTATTGAATTCAGTATGAACTAGAGAGACACATTATCAGCTTAGACACGAATAGATAAATGGAGCGGGATTGTCCCCGTCCCACTTAATGTAAATATATATACATACATAGGCTATATAAAAAAAAAATTAGTAAATTCACTCAACTAATTTTATTTTAATGGTTAAGAAATAATATTAAAATTTAAATTTTTAAAAATTATATCGGTAGAATATTATAATATATATATATATATCAATTTATTAAATTTTTTTAATAAAGATTACATTAAAAAAATGAAAATTTTAAAATAACTATATTTTTTAAAAATAATAATAAATGATAAAAAATTACGCGTGGAAAATCTAATTGCCCAAAAATACGTGATTTTTTTTATTGGATTAAACTATTTTATTAATAATATAAATTATTTTGTAATAATTTAAATTATTTAAATATAGGTCAAATTACACGTAGTCTCGAACTTATAAAACTATATTAAATACGTGATTTTTCTAATTTAGATTATAATTAGTAATTGACGTGTACTGATTTTTTTTTTTAGGTTAGAGTTCAAATTTTTATGCCTCGGTTATTTTACAAAAATAATAAAAAAATAAAAAAACCATCGAATCGAACATAATTCGACTAGTTTATATATATTATCGACTAAAAAAATCAAACACTTGAATTGAAATCGCTAAATTTTGAATGTTCGTGACCTAAGTTATCGAAAAAAACGTATGAATAAGACGGGTTCTTTATATATTTTTATAGTCAAATACTCAATCTCTCTCTCACGCTCAAAAGAAAGGTGATATCTCTATCTTTCTAAAGTAGTAGACATAGACATTCACCTAAGAAAGAAGTCGAAACTATTCTCGGAACAATTCTAATTATTAGGGTTAAAAATATATCAGATTTCGATATGTTGCAGTACGTATCGGGTTAAAATAAGAAATATTACGAGACTCAACTTTAACATTCAACACGAGCATACCCTAATCGATATTTGATCCCTACCTCGTAACCGTTAAACTAAAAGAGAAGTATATGTACTCAATTTTTAGATGTTCGATTAGGTCGCGGTTCAATTTGAAGTTATTTGAAATACTTAGAAATGTTGTTAGTCAAAAAATAGTAAAGACATTCGGAGTTTGGCCAAATAAAGACAAATAAACATAACTTATTGATGGTTATATGTACTTGATTTCCTAGATAGGGAGTGTTGGGTTCAACGACCATGGCACATGGTTTCGTCAGCATAGCTAAAACTTCGATATTTTAAAAAAACGAGTATATTTTGGACCTGTTTGGATTGTCCGAGAAAAATTTGGAAAATAAAGACTGTCACCGATAGTTGACAATGTTGGTGATAGAGTGAGGTCGGTGGTCTTCAGTGGACGATTGTAGTCGTGACTGATGATGGCATGGGTGAGTGGCGGCTGATAGGGAGTAGTGGTCGCTAATAGTAGGTATGTGGAAGTGAAAGTGGAGAGATTTGGAAGGGGCAGTGTGAGGGTATTTTGGTCATTTTTATATATTATGAAAATTTAAGAGAGCTTCACAACTAAACGTTCACAAAATTATTTTTCTAACATTTGATTTTAAGTTTATATTCAAAACACTATGATTGACTACTGATTACCACCGACAGTTGACAGCGATGGTAGTAGAGTGAGGTTAATGGTTTCCGGTGACGGTTGTGGTTGTGGGCGATGACAACAAGGGTGAGTGGCAGGTGATAGGGAGTAGTGGCGGCCAATAGTAGGTATGTGGAAACGAAAGTGGAGAGATTTGGAAGGGGCAGTTTGAGGGTATTTTGGTCATTTTTATATATTATGATAATTTAAAAGGGCTTCACAATTAAACGCTCAAAAACCCTTTTTCTGAAATTTGATCTCAAGTTTATATTCAAAACACTTTAATCGACTACTGACTACTGCTGACAACAATTGACAGTGGTGGCAGTAGAGTGAGGTCAGTGGTATCTAATGGACAGTTATAGTCATGGGCGATGACGACAAGGGTGAGTGACAGCTGAGAGAGAGTAGTGGTTGGCAATAGTAGGTACGTGGAAGTGAAAATAGAGACATTTGAAGGGGTATGTGAGGGCATTTTGGTCATTTTAATATATTATGAAAATTTAAGAGGGCGTCACAACTAAACGTTCAAAAGCCATTTTTCTAAAATTTGATTCACTGTTTATATTCAAAACACTATGATCGACTACTAACTATGACTAATAGTTGACAGTGGTGGCGGTAAAGTGAGATCAGTGGTCTCCAGTGGACAGTTGTGGTCCTGGGCGATGACAACAAGGGTGAGTGGCGGATGATAGAGAGTAGTGGTCGTCAATAGTAGGTAAGTGGAAGTGAAATTGGAGAGATTTGAGCGGGGTAGTGTGAGGGTATTTTGGTCATTTTTATATATAATGAAAATTTAAGAGACTTGACAATAATTAAACGTTCATTTTGAGTGGTCCCAAAATTAAAAATCTTGTAGTTATAGTCAGCAAACATAGTCGAGCGTGGCCTCCAGACCTAAAACCAAGAACGTATGAACGACATAACTTTAAAATATGTCATATTTGTGGTATCAATCGAGAACGATCTCAATTCATATCGATACGAGATAATACTATGAATCGAAATCGAAATCTTGCGAAAATCGAACCAAAATTGATCGAAAGCCACACAAATTCAAATAATTTCTCCCCCACAAGTTCTTCATTCACTATCTTCCAAACATTTGTCAATGGATGGTTGAAATTGTTTTGGATTCTCCCTCTCTCACTCCACAACCACAAGAACCATACTAAAAATATTGTGAAATGTCCTTTTTACCCTTTTCCATCTTGGAAGCTACCTTTGGTTTCCAATAAGTGGCCATTAATTCAATATGGTCTCGTGAAATTTTTTATCGAGCATGTCATTTGATCGGGTTTGAGATATTTCTTGTCACACGAGTTGGGTGTATCTGCAAGATAAGATCTCGGACGGTTGTGATACTTAACTAAGTATTGAATTAGAAGCATAGAGCTCGAGAGTATTGATTGTGTACCTTTAACGTGTGAGGAGTTTCTTTGTTTATCTATTGAGTCGATTCAAATCATGAGAAGGGTATTAACCTTTCTGAGCTACCAACAGTTAACTCGAGTGCCCTTTATGTTTTAGCTTATTATGGCTCGGGTTCTTCAACTCGATATCTAGGAGCTTCTTGAACTTTCATGATATGGATTTAGACATTCATAATAAAGTCTTTAGAACGAATAACGTAAGAAAAGAAATAAACAATGTCATGATCTAATTTAAGAGCTACAAACAATATGAATGCACGTACCCTAGTTTCAGTCTCATGACCGTCACTGCAACGTCGTCATTCGTGAAGAGGTGTATTACCTTTACTAAAAAATAGGAGTAGCACGTGGCTTGAGTTTGAAGGTAAACGTAAGGCACCTCTACATGGATGATGACGTTGTGGTGATAGCCATGGGACTGAAACTAGGGTGAATGCATTCACGTTGTTTGTAACCCTTAGGTTAGATTAGGGCATTGTTGTAATAACTCAAGCTCACCACTAGCAAATATTGTCCTCTTTGGCTTTCCCTTTCAGGCTTTCTTTCAAAGTTTTTAAAATGCCTATGTTAGTGAGAGACTTCCACATTTTTTTAATTCCCTTCTACAACTGATGTGAGATCTCACAATCGACCCCCTTGGGGGCCAACGTCTTCACTGGCACACCGCTCGGTGTCCACCCCCTTCGAGGCTCAACGTCTTCCCTGGCACACCGCCTGATGTCGAGCTCTAATATCATTTGTAACAACCCAAGCTCACTGCTAATAAGTATTGTCTTCTTTGGACTTTCCCTTTCGAGCTTCCTCTCAATATTTTTAAAACGCGTCTTCTAGGATGAGATTTTCATATTCCTTTCGTTCCCTCTCCACTTAACATGTGTTGGTGACCTAGTTTTCAATAGAAAAATAAGGTCCGTTACATATATAGCCCTCAACAAGCAGGTCCTATCAAATAATGAATGGAATACAATTACCATTTTTTTTTTCTGAATTTATTGGAAAAAAAATTAATTTTTTAGACTAAATTAATATATATATATATATATATATATATATATATATATATATATATATATATATATATATATAAACTTTGTATTTGGTTGAAAAATATCACTAAATTCCTTTTAATTTAAAAAAAAATAATAAAAATGTTTTTAGACAGGATATTTTATTTAAAAAATACTTTAAACTTTCAAAAAAAAAATTATAAATTATTTCTAAATTCAGGTTCAGTAGCTAGCTCTTTTTCGGTTTTGTCTTGACTTCTGCATTACCGAGTTCAATCAGGAATAGGAATAGGAGGTTACAGTGAAAGAAGGAGATCAAAGGAAAGGGCACAAGACTGATGTGTGTAGAACTCTCAGAAGAGTGGTCCAACTCGAATATAGGAGGCATCCTTCTGTATGGGTAGAAGGAATAAGTAGAATTTTGAATGTTTGACTTATGGCCAAAGTCAGAAAGATTAGATTTTGCAGTCTTCTCCTCTCTCAAATATGGCGCCACCCCATTAGCCGAAGTATGGCCGTGAAGATCTAGGAGTGTGAGCAGTACGAGCTGAAAGGCTCCCATACTGTTTGGAGGGCAGGGGGCATAGATGCCAAACAAACCTGACCCCTAGAAGGAATCTTGAGGATTGACTGAGAGTGAACTCTCATTGATTCTTCGAGAATAAAAAAAAATTTAAAATTATACGTCTTTTAATTTTTAATTTTTTTTAATATCATGAAATTTGGATGATAATAATTTTTTTTTTTTAATTTTACTTTATTTAAAAGTTTTAAGATTATTAATGCTATTTTTAAAATTTTGATGATATTTTTTAATGTGAATTTTATGTTTAGTGAATTTTTTAAAAAATTAAATATTTTGAGAATAAAATTTTAATTTTGAAAGTTAAATAATTTAATCTAAAATAAATTAAAAATAAAATACCTTTTTGCCCGATAAAGTGACAAACACTGACCTTTTCGGGCAATGATAAAGTAACAGTCAATGGTGGTGCTGTGACGCGAGTGGTGACGTAACTTAATTTGTTTTGTGAGGCTCCTTTAATTATTAAAGATTCTATCTCAATAATAATAATGAATTAAATAAATAAATAAAGTTTTTAAAAAGGATTATTTGGACTTTTCACTACGTAACTAATTACGTGTCGTTTAGGTTTCCAAATCAATTTCGTACTTGTTTTCCTCTAAATAATTTCCCCAATAATAAATTGACTCTATTAATTTTTAAAAATAAAATAAAATTTCAATATTTTCTTTTTTAATTTTTTAATTTTAGTTTATTATGCCAATATGTTATAAAAAAAATAATAAAAATCAATTAGTATTTTTTAATGATCGCAAATTTACTATGTTGGCCTCGTAAAATGATATGGATGCTCGTGTATGTTTTAAAAATAATATTTTTACGCTCGTTAAAAAATATTTTTTTTGTTAGCTTTATTGTTTGTTTCTAAGATGGTGGATAAGATAATGCGTTAACTCAGGTGTTTAAAAAAATTCGATAACTCGAAAAATTCTATCAACCCAGATTAATTTTAGTTGAATTATGATCTTATTTGAGTTGGGTTACGTTCAAATAAATAAAAGTTTTCAAAGATTGAGTTGACTCATGAATTCTCGTGAGATATTTTGTAAAATATATATTGAAATTGAAATGTTTGAAAATGAATAAATAAATAAATATTTTACTTTTATTATAAACAAAAATTTGAATGAATGACCCGAACAAACCCAACCCGAAAAATTAGGGTTGAGTTGGGTTCACGAACATAAGCTCTCATGGCTTTGTTTAGGGCTTTTCCGGTAGTATTCCTTGATTATAAACTCATGATCATTCCCTAAATTAGTGGGAACGTTAAATAGCAGGTCTTGGACTTCACATTTTAAAAATAACCGGAAAAAAAATAAAAATAAAAATAAAAAACTATATTATTTTTTGGTTTTTATTATTTATTACTAAATAAATAAGTTTATTAGTAACTCATTCCATTTTAAAATTTTAAAATTTGAAAAGAAATTAGTTTTATAATAAAAAAATAAAATTAAGAATTAAAAAGTCAACCACAAATTGCCACATATTATTTATAAATCAATAATAAAATTATATTTGCAACCAATTATTATGAATTAAATTTAAAAGACTGACAACTTCAAAGGCTGCCACGTGTCATCATCGTAGCCATTTAATCAAGTAAGCTTATCTTGATCAAATAAAATTAACCAAGTGGAAGCACACGTCTTACCTCTTTTTAATTTCAATTAACTCATTATACAATTTTGTCATACACGTCACGAAGGAAAACATATAAATAGAGAGACTAATCCGACTTATGTAATTAGGTATGCGACACGACCCTTGCTTAACTCGATACCACATTACACGATGTACACGTTGTAGTGATATGAATTGTACATGATATCGTCACCAATCATGATCTGTAACAACCTAAGCCTACAGCTAGCCGACATTATCCGCTTTGGTTGGTCAATTACGTATCGTTGTCAGCCTCATAGTTTTACAACACGTCTGCTAGGGAGATGTTTCCATGTCGTTTTAAGAAATGTTTCGTTTCCCTCTCCAATCGATGTGAGATCTCACAATCCACCCCCTTGAGGACTTAGTGTCCTTGCTGGCACATAGCCTGATGTCTGATTCAATAAAATTTGTAATAGCCCAAGCCTACCGCTAATAGATATTATCTGCTTTGGCCTGTCAACCTCACGGTTTTACAACGTGTATGCTAGGGAGATGTTTCCACATCGTTATAAGGAATGTTTCATTCCCCTCTCCAACCGATGTGGGATCTCACAATCCACTCCCTTGGGGTCCTAGTGTCCTTGCTGGCACATAGTCTGGTGTCTGACTCTAATATCATTTGTAACAGTCCAAGCCCACTGCTAACAAATATTGTCTGCTTTGGCCTGTCAACCTCACGATTTTACATGTCTACTAGGGATATGTTTCCACATCGTTATAAGGAATGTTTCCTTCCCTCTCCAACCGATGTGGAATCTCACAATCCACCCCCTTGAGGTTCTAGTGTCCTTACTGGCACATAGTCTGGTGTCTAACTCTAATATCATTTGTAACAGCCCAAGCCCACTGTTAACAAATATTGTCTGCTTTGGTCTGTCAACCTCACGGTTGTACAATGCGTCTGTTAGGGAGATGTTTCCACATCGTTATAAGGAATGTTTCGTCCCCTCTCCAACCGAAATGGGATTTCACAATCCACCCCCTTGAGAACATGTGTCCTCGCTGGTACACAACCCAATGTTTGGCTCTGATACCATTTATAACATCTCAAGTCCACCACTTGCAGTTATTGTCTGTTTTTGTCCATTACGTATCGCCATCAACCTCACAATTTTACAATGCATCTACTAGAGAGATGTTTCCACACCGTTTTAAGAAATATACTGTTTCCCTCCCCAACCGAGGTGGGATCTGGTTGTATTACAAATACAAAAGCATGCCAAATTGTCTTTTAACACCTGATTTTGTTGATGCTACGCTACAAAAGCATGTAAGAGGGCTTATAGTCAACCAAACCATGCATATTGACAAATGTTGTGAGGCCTTGAATTCCACCATTTTTCATTGCTCCATTAAGTACAAAAAGAAGAAAAAAAATAATACAAATGATCGATAAGAGACTGCAAAGCAGCAAAGAACCAACAAAGAAAAACATAACGTAAGGACCAGCTATCGTCTCTACGACCCGTTCCATTGTTATCGTTTACACGATTTCATGCTCTGATATATATCAATAGTTACATCCTCAGATACCCATTACCTAACACGCAAGAAATCAACCAAAAAGTGTTAAAGAAAGCATGAACATGGAGCAAACAAACATTGAAATGAGCCAAATAACCATATAAAAAATCGGGACAAAACCGATACGACTGCCTGATGATTATCGACATCAACGAACTGCAAAACTAGCTAGATCAATCAATTCCGTGCACCCAAAAGAATGTTCATCCCAGCTCTATCAAAGACATAAATTTCAAATGTCCTTTTATCTTCAACCTAAGGTCGGTATCGACTCCACTTCTGTTTCTTAATGGCAGGAGAATACATACAGAACTCCCTAGTTTTTTCATGGGCTTCTTTATTCATGCTTGTATGGAAATCCTCGTTCTTGATCCCACTTGTTGACGAGTATCTATTGCTTAAATCTAGATGCTCAACTAAACAAGTAAACACGAACTTTCCATGAGAAATAAGGTTATCAATTATAAAGAAAATGAAACCCCCTATATAGTGTATATCAGTAACGGCCAAAGCCTACCACTAGTAGATGTTGTCCGCTTTTACTCGTTACGTATCGCCGTCAGCCTCATAATTTTAAAACGCATCTGCTAGGGAGAGGTTTCCACACCTTTATAAGGAAGGCTTCGTTCCCCTCTCCAACCGATGTGGGATCTCACAATCCACCCCCCTTGAGGGCCCAGCGTCCTCGCTAGCACACCGCCTAGTGTCTGGCTCTGATACCATTAGTAACGGCTCAAGCTCACCGCTAGCAAATATTGTCCGCCTTGGCCTCTTATATGTCGCCATCAACCTCACGGTTTTAAAACGCATCTACTAAGGAGAGGTTTCCACACCCTTATGAGAAATGCTTTGTTTCCCTCTCTAACCGATGTGGGATCTCACAACATCAGAGTGGTAGACCCTTCACATTGTTCAATTTGCTCTCTGACAAACTCACATCAATAGACTAAAAACAGAGTTTTCTCAGCTACCTTGAACCACCACAACAATTAATTGATATAGCTAAATTTAGAAATGCTGCCAAGCATTTAAACTTTGGTGTAGCAAAACTAGTAATAATTGAATTCTTGAAGAAAATAATGAAGGAGCAGAAAAGGAATACTGGCTTTAATGCAGACAGCATTATAACGTGCCATCAGAGAGGACAATATACCAGTAAAAGGAAAACCGACCATGTAATAGACTTATGGAAACTAAATTTACCTTGGTGAAGCTCTTCTCTTTATAGCTTGACCTCCACATCAACACCAGCTGGAAGGTCTAGTTGCATCAACGAATCGATCGTTTGGGCAGTCGGGTACAAAATATCGATTAGGCGCTGATGGGTTCTGATTTCAAAATGGAATCTAGCATCCTTATGAACATGAGGAGATTTAAGAACACAATAGATGCGCTTTTTTGTAGGTAATGGCACGGGACCCATGGTTTTTGCATTTGTGTTCCTTGCAGCATCCATTATCTGCTTGCAAGAGTCTTCAATGAGGGGAACCCAGTAAGACCTTAGTTTAATTCTAATTTTCTGCTTTGGCGCCAGCTGAAACCACAAACATCTTAGTTCGTTAAAATCAGCCAAGAAAAGGATGGATACTATCAATTATACGACCAACTAGCTCAGATACGTCCCTAGATACACCTCGTAGCGCGTATAATTCAACAAATCAAATAACACAACACGACGACATGCTGAAGACCTTATAGGCGTCTTGTAAACAGAAAAAGGTACAAAATGAATATACTCTAGAAGTGATCAGGTTTAATGCCTTCCCTTGTACTTGAATTACTAGGCATGTTTTGAATTATGCTCTCAATCTTATTCTTTTAGAATGGAGTCCTTTTCTATAATTAGTTTGGGTCTCCTTTTGTTTGGGCTTGTTTTTGCTTACCCTTATATTCTTTCATTTTTCTCATTGAAACACTGTTTCTTACACACATATATACATATATCCTGATATTCTGACCAATGAGTCTAGTAAATGAAGTCAGCAGAGTCCTTGCACAATTGGAGAGGTGAGATCCCAATCAGTTGGGGAAACAAAACATTCCTTATAAGAGTGTGGAAACCTCTCCTTATTAGACGCGTTTTGAAACTAGGAGACTGATGGTGATAGGTAATGGGCCAAAGTGAACAATATCTATTAGCGGTGAGTTTGGGTAGTATCAAATGACGACGATGATATCAGAGCCAGACACCGAGTAGTACGCCAACGAGGATGTTGGGCCTCAAGGGGGTGGATTGTGAGATCCCACATCGGTTGGAGAGGAGAACAAAGCATTCATTATAAGGGTGTGAAAACCTCTTCCTAGTAGACGCGTTTTAAAACCATGAGGTTGACGGGGATACGTAAGGGGCCACAGCGGACAATATCTGCTAGCGGTGGGCTTGAGTTGTTACAAATGGTATCAAAGCCAAACACCAGGCGGTGTGCCAGCAAGGACGCTGGGCCCCAAGGGGGGTGGATTGTGAGATCTCACATCGGTTGAAGAGGGGTACAAAGCATTCCTTATAGGGGTGTGGAAACCTCTCTCTAGTAGACGCGTTTTAAAATCATGAGGCTGATGGCGATACGTAATGGGCTAAAGCAGACCATATCTACTAGCGGTGGGTTCAGCTGTTACAAGAGAATTGTGTACTACTCGGTTGAGGAGGTTGTTTTAGAATAAAAAAAGAATATGGAACTGAAACATTCCACTCAATCCCACTACATTAGGAAATTTCGATGTTTCATGAGTACCATCACCTTATTTAGCCTCTAAAGCACACTACAATTACAACTGATACATACATGTTATTCTCCATTCACTCATTACCTCACCCAATCAACATAGCTGGATAAAAAACTTATGATACTGATATAATCTCATTAAATGATTTCACTTGTTATCTATTCATCAGAACCAATATAAATCTCGGAGTTTTGTTTTGGTTTCAGAAGCTGCTGTGCAGGACATAAACATAAGAATTACCTTATCCACATCCTCACCAATGCTGAATGCTGAAGTTCCAGGCGCTTCAAAATCTTCACCCTAAACATAACATGAAATTGAAAACAACATGGAAATTTAGAACACCATTCAATCACATCCAGAACAAAAATTCTCAAATCCATCACAAAACGTAAAGAAATCGTAACATTTTGCTCGATTTCGCACTACTTTTCTAGACGAACAACATTATCACAAACCTCGAGAGTGGCAGCTCCGGAGTCCTCCAGGATTTCCGGAGGCGGTTCGTTGGCATCGGAGGAGTCTAGAACTTCGGGAGCAGCATAAACCCTAGACGATGGCAACGAAAAATGGAGGGGTTTGAGCTTTAAAGCAGTAGAAGAGGAACCAGAGAAGGGAAGAAATCTCGGTTTAGGATGAAGGGATGATAAGGGAACAAATAGTGAAGGAGATGGAATTATAGTAGCAGAGAGTGAAGAGATAGCCATGGAAGTTCCTCTGGATATCAATGGCGGATTCTCTGAAATAATGGAAGCTTTTTGCTCGCAGCGTTATCCAAATCAGTTGCTCAGTGTTTTTAATTTTCCCGGAAAATTTCATTCCGCACAAAATTGTCAATATTTTTGGGCCATGATCACAAGCCCACTTGCACACATCACATCGGTTTGTGGTTTGTGATGACTCAGTTCATAGTCCAATCTGATTCAAACTCAAAATTTCATGTTAGTGGCTCAATCTAATCTAACCTAATTCAAACCCAAAATTTTATGCGGGTGACTCAAGTAGCTCGAATAGAGTTCATAATCCAACCTAACTCATACAAGAAATTTCACGTTGATAACTCAAGCAGCTCGATTAGAGTTCATAACCCAACCCAAACCTGAAATCTCATGTTGGTGGCTCAAGCAGTTCGAATAGAGCTCATAACCCAACATAACCCAAACCAAAAATTTCATGTTGGTGACTCTAGCAACTCGAATAAAGTTCATAACCCAAGCTAACCCAAACTTGAAATTTCATGTTGGTGACTCAAGCCGCTCGAATAAAGTTCATACCCAAGCTAACCCACCCAAAATTTCAGGCTGGTGACTCAAGCAACTCGAATAGAGTTCATACCCCAACTTAACCTCCGAAATTTCATGTTGGTGACTCAAGGAGCTCGAATGAAGTTCATAACCCAACTTAAACCAAACTCGAAATTTCATATTGGTGGCTCAAGCAACTCGAATAGAGCTCGTAACCCAACCTAACCCAAACCCGAAATTTCATATTAGTGACTCAAGCAACTCGAAAAAGTTCATAACCTAAGCTAACCCAAACTCAAAATTTCATGTTGGTGACTTAAGCAACTCGAATAGAGTTCATAACCCAGCCTAACCCAGACCCAAAATTTCATGTTGGTAGCTCAAGCAGCTCGATTAGAGTCCATAACCCAACCTAACCCAAACCCAAAATTTTATATTGGTGACTCAAGGAGCTCGAATAGAGTTCATAACTCAACCTAACCCACCTCTCTATTTTCGGGTTGGTCAAGTTGACCCGAATAAAAAAGTTAAACCCACAAACCAAATCAAATTTACGATTCTCCAAAAATTAACCCAACCAAAATCGAAAAAGATCTATTCCAACCAAACCTTTATAATTTCCGTCTAATAGTCTGGGTTGATCGAGTTATTAGGTAACATGAACCGCCCTAACTCGGGTATCACTTTATTTTATAAAAAATTATCGTATATAAATCATTTTGATTAAATTTCTTAGAATTTTATCCCAAAAGTTCCACCGAAAGTCTTACAAATAATTCCCTAAATAAAATAATTGTATATGATTTTACAGTTATAAAGCACCAAACTGTTGCTTTGACAAACATCTCCCCTTTTTTTCCTCCCAATAAAGCAAAACCAGTTTCACAAAGCAGAGCTCTCACCTCTCATATTTCTCTCCATCAATGGCTTCAGACCGGAACCATGCCGATCTCGAATCGACATTGCACGCTCTCGGACCGGACAACCCGTTCCCTCAAAGCCTCACCTTCCATCTCTCTCAGTCCACTTCTTTCTGCCATGTCGAAACCGAAAACTCCATGAAAGTAGACATTTCCAGGGACAACAGTCCTTACTTCTCTCGCTTTCTCACAGCTTTGAGCTGCCACAGCTCCATCAGAAGCTTGGAGTTTCATCATGTTGACTGGGAACTCGAGCAGATGCGAGAGCTTTGTAGGTTGGTTGAGGATAATCCGGGCGTTGGACATGTCGTGTTTCGACGAAATAGATTGAGTAATGAATGCTTGGCAGAGCTGTGTTGTGTTTTGAGAATTAACAGAGGGATTAAAGAGCTTACGTTTTCGGAATGTGGGATTGGATCGGTCGGGGTTGGTTTGATTGCTTCTGGTTTGAAGGTTAATGATTCGTTAGAGGAGTTTCAGGTTCGGGAGGACTCGATCGGGTCAAAAGGCGTGGAAGAACTCTCGAAGATGGTTGAAGAAAACTCGACTCTGAAGCTGTTGTCAATTTTCGACACGAACTCAATCACAGTGACTCCATTGATAGCTGCAGTTTTGGCAATGAATAGGAACTTGGAAGTGCACATTTGGAGTGGAAAAAGTTCAAAGGTGGTTGAGTTTGTACCTGGGAGTAGCACACTCAGAATTTACAGGCTAGACATGAATGGCGCTCGCACGGTTGCCTGCTCGCTCGGGTTGAACTCGACAGTTAAAACGCTCGACATGACTGGTATCCAGCTGAAATCTCGATGGGCAAGAGAATTCCGTTGGGTGTTGGAGCAAAATCGTTGCTTGAGGGAGGTAAAACTATCGAAAACTCACTTAAAAGACGAGGCAATCGTGCATATAGCAGCTGGACTTTTCAAGAACAAGCACTTGCAGAGCTTGTTTCTTGATGGAAACTTATTTACGGGCATCGGAGTTGAGCATTTATTCTGTCCTTTGAGCCGGTTTTCGACCCTGCAACTGCAAGCAAACATAACTCTCAGATACGTAACGTTCGGAGGTCGAAGAAACAAGATAGGTAGAGACGGGCTAGCAGCTATTCTACATATGCTCACAACGAACGAAACGCTTACTCATCTAGGGATATATGATGATCATAGCTTGAAACCAAATGACATAGTGAGAATATTCAGGAGTTTAGAGAAGAACGCGTCGTTGAGACACTTATCGTTACCCGGCTGTAAAGGTGTTGATGGAGACATGGTGTTGGAGACGATAACAGGGATGCTAGAGGTAAATCCTTGGATCGAAGACATCGACCTCTCGGAAACTCCTCTTCAGAATTCCGGGAAAGCCGATGGAGTTTACCAAAGGTTAGGACAGAACAGGAACACTGATCTCGAACCTCCGGTGGATTCGCTCGACACGACCTTGACCGAGCCAAAAAGTTGTAGGATTTTCCTCTGTGGGCAAGAATATGCAGGTAAAACTTCCATATTGCAGAACTTTGGTTCTTCAAAACTTCCCTTCACAGAACAATTTAGATCTTTAGTAGCTCCAGTTGAACAAGCAGTAAGAACAGTCGGAATAAAGATAAAAACTTACAGAGACGAAGACGTAAAAATATCGGTTTGGAATCTAGCTAATCAGCACGAGTTCTATTCACTCCACGATCTCATGTTTCCCGGGCCTGGAACTGCATCGGTATTTGTGATCATCAGCAGTTTATTCAGAAAACCAAGTAACAAAGACCCGAAAAACCTGAACGAGATAGAAGACGATGTTCGATATTGGCTACGGTTCATAGTTTCCAACTCTAAACGAGCATCACAGCAATGCGTGCTTCCAAACGTAACTTTGGTTCTCACACATCACGACAAAGTCGTACAATGTTCACAGAACGTGCAGCAAACTTTGATGTCAATCCAGAGATTGAGAGACAAGTTCCAAGGCTTCCTTGACATATACTCGACAGTGTTTACTATCGATGCACGCTCATCGGCATCGGTAAACGAACTCTTGCATCATCTTCAGAGAACGAGCCGCACTGTTCTCCAAAGAGTTCCACGAGTTTACCAGCTCTGTAACGAACTGATCCAAATTTTGATGGACTGGAGATCAGAAAACTACAACAAACCAGTAATGAGATGGAACGAGTATCAGGATCTATGTCAAGTTCGTATCCCTCAGTTGAGAATACGTTCGAGACGAAGTAATCGAGACAAGATCGAGACAAGGAGGACGGCTCTTGCTACTTGCTTGCACGACATAGGAGAGGTGATTTACTTCGAAGAACTCGGATTTATGATATTAGATTATGATTGGTTTTGTGAAGTTCTTGGCCAACTAATAAGACTAGAAGTTAGAAACCATTCAACCAACAATAATGGATTCATCAGTAGAAAAGAACTCGAAAAAGTTTTAAAAAGCAAGTTACATAGCCCGATCCCAGGAACGAATTCGAAGGTATTTGAAAACGTGCAAGCTAGTGATCTAGTGGGAATGATGCTAAAACTCGAACTCTGTTACGAACAAGACCAATCAGATCCGAATTCGTCATTGCTAATCCCCTCGGTTCTCGAAGATGGTAGAGGAAAACCACAAAGGTGGCCGTTAAGTATGCCCGACTGCATCTACATAGGGCGACACCTAGAATGCAATGATTCGAGCCATATGTTTCTAACTCCGGGATTTTTTCCTCGACTACAGGCAAGAATCCCCTAGTTCTATCTCTCTCTCTCTCTCGCTTTCTCTAATGGAACATTGTGAGTTTCGGTTTCCTAATCAGATTTTTCGCTGTTCGAAATTCAGGTACATCTATATAACAGAATCATGGGATTAAAGAACCAATATGTAGCAAATTACAGCTTAGAGAAGTACCTGATCACGATAAACATCAATGGAATGTATGTCAGGGTAGAGCTCGGAGGACAGTTCGGCTACTATATCGATGTCCTGGCATGCTCCACGAAGAGCTTGACCGAGACTCTTGGATTTATCCAGCAGCTTATAATCCCTGCTATTCATGACCTCTGTAATGGCGTCATCTTGACCGAAAGCATTATCAGGCCCGAATGTGTGCAAAATTTGGTGGCACCTAGACACAGGAAAACACAGAACGTCTCAATACAACAACTGAAACTCGCGTTGCTTTCCGTTCCTGCTGATGGAATGTATGAATATCAGCACACATGGTGTCCTGTGTCAGACGGCGGTAGAGAAATTGTTGCAGTTGGGTTTGATTTTGCTCGAGAGCTATTGTCTGACGATGATTTCCGGGAAGTTTTGCATAGGAGGTACCATGACCTTCATGATCTTGCTGTTGAACTGCAAATCCCGCACGAAAACAATCCGGAAGCAGTTGATCGCTCGTTATCCAATGACGAAACTGACAAAGTTGCAGCAACGTTCGATGGGATTGCAAAAGGGGTTGAAGCTGTTCTGCAGAGATTAAAGATCATTGAACAAGAAATCAGAGACTTAAAGCAGGAGATAAAAGGTTTAAGATATTATGAACACAAACTCCTACTCGAGCTTAATCGTAAAGTGAACTACCTAGTGAATTACAATGTCGAAATCGAAGAGAGAAGAGTACCAAACATGTTCTATTTCGTTAGAACGGAAAAC